CATACCGGCATGTAGTGGCTCAAGCTCGTTTGGGAGTTAATCAAGCCGAACATACTAAGTTCTTTGAAGAAATGCTTGCTGACGTTGATTCACCAACCCTTCCATTTGGCCTAAGCGACGTTCATGGCGATGGGGCTGCGATCGATGAAACACATATGAAATTACCGCATGAGCTTAATCATCAGTTACGGGAGCATGCACGTCATTTACATGTAAGCTTAGCCAGCCTTTGTCATTTGGCTTGGGCACAAGTACTTGCTAAAGCCAGTGGAAGCAATACAGTTGTCTTCAGCACTGTACTATTCGGTCGTTTACATTCCGGAGAGAATAACACTACAATGGGGCTATTGATCAACACGCTACCCATTAGGCTGGATATCGATGAGAGATCAGTAGATAGCGCCGTACGTCATACTCACTCACGTTTGAGTGCATTGCTAGAACATGAGCATGCATCGCTTGCGTTGGCGCAGAGTTGTAGCGGAGTACCAGCAACTTTGCCACTTTTTAATGCACTATTGAATTATCGTCATAATCAGCCGAGCACGGAGTCCGCAACGTCGACAGAAGGGGTTACATTCCTGGGCACTGAGGAGCGAACCAATTATCCAATAACTCTATCGGTGGATGACGACAGCGATGCGCTGGGCCTAACAGCCAGAGTATTGCCGCCAATATCAGCGGAACGGATTTGTGGTTATATGCAACAGGCTCTTGTCACACTTTGCAATGCATTAAAAAACAAGCCAGAGAAATCGGTGCGGAAATTGACAGTAATACCACCAGAGGAACGCACTATGCTTTTGCATAGTTGGAACGAGACGACAGTCAACTATTCGGCTGTTCGTTATTTACATGAGTTATTTGAGGCACAAGTGGAGCGTAATGGACAGGCCATAGCGGTGGAATGTAACCGCGAGACACTGAGCTATGCAGAACTCAATGCACAAGCTAACCGATTGGCTCATCATTTAATCACACGAGGAGTTAAGCCAGATGATCGCATCGCACTTTGTGTTAAACGCAGCACAAAAATGATCATAGCTATATTGGGCATTCTAAAATCTGGTGGCGCTTATGTGCCGCTTGATCCGGTCTACTCGAGTCAACGGCTTAAAAATATTTTGGAGGACGCTGATCCATTGTATTTGTTGGCAGATGCAACTGGACAAGAGGCACTTGAAGATCATCATGTTCCAGTGATTGATTTGGATTCGGCGTCACCTGGTGGCTTTTCTGTTGATAATCCAAACTCGGTGAATTTGGGATTAACTCCTTCAAGCCTAGCGTATATTATTCACACTTCCGGCTCGACTGGAACACCGAAGGGAGTGATGGTTGAACATCAAACTGTATACAATTTGGCCTGTACTGTATCATCGCCCTTAAGAGTAAGTTCAGAGAGTCGAATTATGATGTTTGCTTCGTACGCTTTTGATGCTAGCATTGTTGACATCGTATTAGCTCTCACTAGTGGAGCCTGTCTTTGTTTGCCGATCGAAGAAGTGCGCCAGACGGACACTGATTTGCTTGGTTATATAGAGGCTGCGAAAATTACTCACGCCCATTTAACACCAGCTCTGTTCCGGAATACTCAAAAATTAAACAGCGTAATGGGTTTGAAGGCTTTGATATTGGGTGGCGAAACACCTCCGCTATCTTTGCTAAAAAGTGCGATTATTCACACTCCTATTTTCAATGTATATGGACCTACCGAAACGACAATATGGGCTACCACCTGGTCATGCCCGGTGGACTTCTCCAGTCATTTAATACCAATCGGTCGTCCATTATCAAATATACGTATTTACCTGCTGGATTCACAAGGTGAACCGGTGCCACTGGGAGCACAAGGAGAATTGTATATTGGTGGAGCTGGCGTGGCTCGAGGCTATCTCAATCGACCCAAACTTACCGCCGAACGTTTTCTTCCCGATCCATTTAGTGAACATCCAACAGCAAGAATGTATCGCACTGGTGATCTGGCACGCTATCTACCTGATGGAAATCTAGTATATTTGGGACGCA